CGGGGTCCCCGCCGGAGCCCGAGCCGGGGCCGGGACGGGGACCGGGGCAGCGCACGGCTCGCCGTCCTCGGCGCGCGCGTCCGGGGACGCCCCGCGGGGGTCCCCCGAGCCCCCGAAGAGCAGCGGCCGCAGGCTGTAGCACAGGCCCATCGGGGCGCGGGGTCCCCGGGAGGGGGGTCACACCGGGGCTCCCGCCGACGCCGCCCGCTGCCGGCCGTGTGCGCGCTGGGCCGGGCCCGGGGGCCGCTGGCCCTCACCGCCCCGACGGGCCATTGGGCATCCTTCGACCATCCGCGGGCGCGCGAGCTCGCACCTGAGAGCGCCGCGAGCTGGCGGAGCTGACCCAGCGGCCCGGCCCTGGCCAGCCCACCCCGTTACCGTAAATGCCGCCGCGCAGTCGCTCCCATTACCGTAAATACTGCCTCTTAGTACAAGGCTACCCTGGCCGGCCACTCATTGCTCCGTGGCAGGAGCGGTTAGGTTACCGCTAGCCAGGGCTGAGACAGAGACTAGGCTGCTCACGATGCTGGGGCAGGGTGGAGCATTGTTAAACGCTGTTGAAAAAGAAAAAAAAAAGTGTTCGGCGGAACTTTCTAAGGAATGAGCAAAACTCCCAAGAACGGGTTGGAGAGACCCGGCAGAGGGTATCCGGTCGACTTTTCCCTTAAGCCTGGCAGCGTAGGACTGGGAAGATAGCCAGCCTGCTCTTTACACAGGAAAGCCCTGTGACAACGCCATCTGAACCGATAAAGGCAACTGAAGCAATGACCTTGATCCAGAAGGCCGTGCTCCAGTCATGGCCACTGTAGACAACTCTTGTCAGCCGTGGTGACTGATGGATGACCCGGTAGCTCTTCTCAGCTAAGACGGGCGGGGGAAGCAGTAAAACTGCAGGCTGTGATTGGTGCAAATACAATTCTTCAATTCACACGGCACGTCCTTACCATGTGCTTCTCCGGGCTATATAAATAGATGGTTCAGCTGGTTTTCATGTGGACCCCGTGGTGTTGAACATTAAGTCTAATAAGAAGGGTACCCCAAATAGTCTTTTCTTTACCACGGGCGCAACCAGCTTAGCTGGAAACGGTTATGGCATCGACCAGCTGTGGAGAGAGGACAGTTGAAGGGTTAGGAGAGCAACCACCACCAGCTCCTAGTTGGCAGGGTTTCGGGGGAAGGTGTCCAGCGGCACGTCATATGAGAAAGGGCAGAGGTGGAAAGCCAAGACTGGAAAGGGGGAGGGTGTGAAAAGTGAAAAACAGAGGTCCCGAGGGGCTGTGGTCCCTGGAGCTGCCCAGCTCTCAGGGCTGAGAATCCTGGTACTCCAGGCCTGCTTGAGAGCTTTAATGGCAATTTCCTGGTCTCTGTACGGTGGGAGAGTCTCAACAGGTAGTTCGGGAAGGCCCTGATTCTAGCTGGCACTAATTGCTGTTGACTGTTGCTATTGCTGTTACTTAGGAGCAGGGTGCCAGGCTGCAGCTAGCGCACCTGGGGCCCAAAGTCTCTGGCTTCTAAGGCCTGGAGCCATAAGTCAAATTTAGAAGAAGGCTAGAGGCACTGTCAAGGGTGAAGGCTGTTTTAATGGGGAGAGAGGATTACTTTTCTTAAAAATCATGTTTTGAGATTATATGATTACATCATTTCCACCTTCTCTTTCTTCCCTTCTAACCCACCCATGAACCCTCTCATGCTCTCATTTATATTCGTGGCATTATTTTGTTTTACACACATGCGCGCTCGTGCTCGCAAACACACACACACCCCTAAATATAACTTCCTTAGTTATATTTATTATATATATATATATTATTACTTGTATTTTCTGGGAGAGTGCTCTTTTCTCCTCCAGTAGGATGCTTCGAACCCTCCTATGAAAGCTAGCCAATAGAGATGGAGCTTCCTAGTCAGTACCCATTCAATTTCTTCATGTCCTATGACTCAGGTATGTAGTGTCTTCAGTAATAGGGTCTTACCATCAAGTCTGGAGAGTAACCAAGAACACTGACAATAGCTTGTGAGTCTGGGGTGTCTTTGGGACTTCACTGGTTAGCAACTCCAAACGTAGTAATGCATTCTTGGCATTAGGCTTTCTGTTAGCCTACTACTAGCCTACCAGATATATAACTAATAACAGATTGCTGGATCATATTGTAGTTCTTTGTAAATACATTAAAAGACCTTTTGTGTATGTGTGAGTATACATGCATGTGCCTCCTTGCCATGCCATGCCATGCTATGCCATGCCATGCAATATACAATGTACATTACATTGTACCCTTAAATATGCATTGTCAGTTACAAAGAATTTGAATGCAACTAATTTAATTTCTAACTATAAAGGCACTTCTATTGCTTTTCTATTGCAGTGATAAAAACACCATGGCCAAGGCAACTTACAGGAGAGAGATGATAGGCTTACATTTCCAGATGGTTAAAGTCTGTGGTGGCAAGTGAAGGCAGGGTAGCAAGGCAGCTCAGAGCTCATATCTAGAGCCACAAGTACGATGCAGAGAGAGTGCACTGGGGGCAACAGAAGGCTTTTAATTCTCAAGCCTGTTGTCAGTTTAGTTTCAAAAGACTAATTTCAAGCCAGTTTTACTCCTTGCTTGTGGTTTGAGACGCTAGCTCTCAGCTGCCCCTGCTATCAAGCCTTCGCTCCACCATCGTGGACTGTAACCCGTCAAAACGGTAAGCCCAGGTGAGCTCTTTCTTCTTGAAGTTGTGTTGGTCATGGGGTTTTGTCACAGCGACAGAAAAGTAACCAATCCAGTGTGACGCCTGGTATTATCACCCACAGCTCGGGGCAGACAACACAACACAAAACAGTCAGCTGACATTAAAAATTTTCTAATTAAAACAAAGTTATTTTTAGGGCTGGAGAGATGGCTCAGCAGTTTAGAGCAGACCTGGGTTCTCTGGCCCCACATTGCAGCTCAACCATTGTAACTCCAGTTCCAGGGGCTCCAATTTCCTCTTCTGGCTTCTGCAGGTACCGGTATGCATGTGGCACACACACACACACACACACACACACACACACACACACACACACACAATATTTGTACACATAAAGGAAAAATAAATCTTTAAAACAAGAGAATTGATTGAAAATATTTGAGTGTGTATACATGTACCTGTGTGTGGGTTTGTGCATCTGAGTGCAGGTGCCTGTGGCCATCATGTCCTCTGGCACTGGAGTTGCAGGCAGTTATGCTACCTATGGTGGGTGCTGGCAATCAGACTTGGGTCCTCTCCAAGAATGGTTCATGTGCCTTGCCTCTGGGTTGTCTCCCCAAATACTCAGCTTTTATTGGTGCATTTGACATTTTCACTGCTAATGAATTTTGTATGGAATCTGCCTGCCTCTGGTGTTTACGGGATCATGTCCTGCTTTCCAAGCATCGATATTTCCTACTGTGGGCCCCGATATGAGTGTGATGCTAGCCGTCCCGCTAAGCATTTCTTATTTTCCCATTTTTAGGCTTCACCCTCTCGTTTCCCACAGTGTAGAAATAGGTTTTGGTGCCAGGGAAGATACTGAGATTCCTAAATAAGCCCTGCGTCTGCTTGCTCTTACTTAATCACTGGTTTTGGAGGTCACACGGCTGGCCATGCATTATCGGTTTCTTCGTGGTTTTTGATGACAAACTCCCCCCCCCCCCCCGTGACCAGAATATTGGAATTTATAATACTCGTCACCACAAATGCCAAGGAGCAGAGACACAGATGGAAAAGCTGCACTTCTTCTGAGGGCCGGTGACCCAAGAAGGCAGCGGGTTAACACCTTACAGAACTTAGGTCTCATGTCCAGCCAGCAAGAGGGCTGTTGGCAGTCAGCCACTCCAGCCTCTGGCCGGATGGACCACCTGACCCCTGAGGTCTGCGATGCTTGCGCCTCTTTCCTTACCTCCAGCACACTTTCTCTCCTGGCTGCATTGTGTCCTGAGCTAACAGTTATTACAGGTCACAGGTTTCTCAGAGTTTGCAGTAGGCTGTAGTTTTGTGGGCCTTGCCGCTTGCCAAGAGGAAGACAGACAACATGGATGAAAATGGACTGATCTATTCCGCTACAAGGAAATGACACGTCTGTCCTTGTTTCTAGCTGCTGGAGGAGGAGCAAAGCAAGAACTGCCTCAAGGTGTACTGTGAAGGCCTGCTCATCACACATTGCCTTGGGTGGCAGAAGTCAGAAGGATGTGATACACTTTTCGTACACACAGTTGCCTTCATTTCGCTTAAGTGGTGTCCCCGAAGGACAGAGGACTTAAACAAGCATCTCTGTCTTCACAGAGCAATAGTTCTCAACCTGGGCTTTGAGAACTCCTGTGGGGTTGAACGACCCTTTCACAGGGAGTGTCTAAGACCCTCAGAAAGCACACGTTTTTGATGACTTTGAGATGAACTGAGGCTTTGCTCCTGTATCATCTCCAGGCAAGTCTGCCCACACGCAGATATGTCCACAGGCAGATACACCTCCACGCAAACACGTCCCCCAAGCAGATATGCCCACAAACAGAACCTAGAGCTGTATTAAAGGGTTGCAGCATTTGGAAGGTTGAGGACCCCTGTCATGGTGACAGCTTTAAATCCCATTTGGATATCCACTGATCTTTTTTTACCCCAGCGTAGAGCATCTGAGGCTGATCTGTAGCAAGCCACGAAGCTATTGGCACCCCCAGAGGCGTGGCCCTTGGGCCCATGTATGCCTTGTCTTTTCCATTGATCCTATTTTGCAGGTTTTCAGCTGAATGTTATGTTCCAACTGGAAGAAATTCACAGGCATGCTGGGGGCAAAAATCTCTAACACACACATAAGTTTCAGTTTATGGCGGAAAATCTGCCCTAGATTGCACACACATAGTCCTTATTTTAAAGTGGTCTCTAAGAATGTGATCCATATTAAGTATTGTCTGGAGTGGTTCCACCATTAAAAGTGTAAACAGTGGCCCTAGAAAAACATTTTCTTCTTTTGTTTCTCCTGTGTATTTTCCCTGCTGTGATGGAACTAGGAGAGTGATCAAAACTTCTGCTTCCCCACAGTGGCCACCAAGGAAGACTCCCCCACCCCCCTCCTCACCACTCTTCTCTCTTGGACATTGCATTTTCTGTGAGATGAGCTTTCAGATCTGGGTTTACTAGTAAAAACAGGTGTTCCA